CCAGATGCTTGGCGGGGGGCCTGGGTGCTGCCGCAATCGTCACCATCAGCTCCGTGTCTTCAGGGATGCCCGGGAAACCACCAGCCGCCCTGCTATGTGGTGGCGCCTGCTCTCGGGGACCTACCTCCTCATACTCTCCGTCGTCAGCCTCTCGTCCTGCGAGCTCCGCCAGGAGTAGTAGCCCGTGAGGAACTTCCATGCCTCTGGCCTCACTGCGAGGTCCAGACCCTGCAAGGGGGGTCATGAGTACAAAAGGCAGCTGGGCGCCCACTTCCCAGGGAATTCACTCGGGCCTCAAGCCTCTGAACGCTTCCTTAGTCCTCGTGTCTTGGCATTGAGAGGGGCAGGCAGCTCCGCGCACAGGCCAGACCCGGGCGAGTGGCCATGGGGCACTACTCCCAGAACCTCACACGCTCCTTGGCTTTACTCCCTGTGCTTTTGCCAGCCACGCGGAAATGCCAGAGGAAGGACTGCCATTCCCAAGGGCTCGCCGGGCCCAGCCACAGCTCCAGCGCCCCGGGAGTGAGCTGAGTCCCACAAAGTGCAGACAGGAGACCCGGAGCAGGCAGCTGAGGCCCGCGGAGTCGTGCCGGGGAGGGCGGGTCTGCGGGGCCGAGGGCTGAGCACTAAGATTCCTCGCTCCCGGCAAAGCCCAAGGGGAACTGGGACATTTCGCGGCTCTCTGAAAAGGTGCCGACTTGCCTGGAGTCAGCTCAGCATCCCCGGCTGCTTGCAGGCCAATTCCCAAAGCACCAGTTCTTGTGGCAGAAATCGGGCCACAGGGGTCCCTCTGTGAGCAACCCCTGGCTGCAAGAGCCAAGAGGGGGCTGGCCGGCTGGGTTTGGGAGGGCAGGGGCGCCAGCGGGCCCGGCGTTCCTGCGCTTTCCTGGGAACGCAGGCAAATTACTGTTTTATCCAGGGAGGCCTCCCGCCCACACCTGAGAGGCTCAGTGGCATTTCAGATGGTCCCAGCCACCTGGGGTCCGAGGCCAGCGGCAGACACCGACCCCTCGGATGGGCCTTAGCACCTGCTGGACTTTGGCTACATTCCTCCTGGGGCGGCTCCCACGTGCTCTGCTGTGCCAGCATGGGGCATGGGGGAGGGGCACTGAACTGGCGGACGGGTCCAGCCTCGCCCCAGTGGCCTAAAGCTGTGGGAGGGTCCAGGAGCCTTGAGGCCACCTTCATGCAACCGGAGCCCCTGCCCCACTCAGCCTGGCCCCCCCGCTGACCGTCCCGTCCCCCGCAGACCCGGCTCACCCTGTCCAGGATGTTGGCTGAAATAAAATCCCAAGATTTCACAAGGTGGCCGCTCTCGTCAAAATACCCATCCCACTCGGCCGTGTCGATCGGCACCTTCCTCATGCCCTGGGGACAGAAGGAGAGCTCAGAATTCACGCCCAGTGCCAGTCCGGGAGCCCCAGGCGCCATCTGGCCTTAACGAGCTCGGGACGCCAGGGGGATCTCGGCTCCAGATCCCTCCCGCTGTGGCTGTTACAACTCCAGGAAAACTCCCGCAGTGGTGCCCAGCCCCCTGGCCAGGCTCCTTTAATCCTCCCTTCCGCGCTCGATGCAGCTGGAGAGCTGGTGTCCGGCGTGTCCCGGCCAAAACTGCTGTGTGCCGACTCCGGGCCGTCCCGCGCGCGCCAGGCACTGCACTGTGGCAGCAGGGAAGGTGCCTGTCCAGCTCTTCTCACCAAGAGTTTGTAAAGTGCTGGGCCCGCCCTCCGGACGAGAGCCTGGCACCCGCTGCAGCACCTGCTTTGAGCTCGGGAGGGCCCTGCTCCAGCGCCTTGGCTTTCCCCAGGTTACGTGGGTCCCTCTAGAGGTCACGTCCCAGGGCCTCCCCTCGAGCAGCGTTGCGGCCTCTATTTTCAGGCCAGGGAGCCAGCAGGAGGCGAGTCCCAGGGCCTAGGCGAGAGCAAAGCGAGCAGCGGTGGGGCTCAGGCCGAGGCCTCTTGCCTCCTTGCTCCCGCTGCCTTGCGGCCAAAGGGACTCTCCATCGCTCCCCGGCTGTGGGACGGAGAGGGGCGCGCACTCACCAGCAAGGAGGAGAGAGACGATTTGATCAGAGAAACGCTGGCGTGCGGGGCGCTGGCTTCCAGAGCTCGCTCCGCCTGCCCTGGGGGGTCCGGCAGCAGGAGTCTTCGCCCACGTGCGTCCTGCCCTGCCCCTCCAGGAGCCCTGCAGAGTGGCGCCTCCTGTGTGCGGAGCAGACACGCTCTGAGCTCCTGGCCCATGTCATAGAGCAGTGGGGCCGCTCGTCACAAAGGCGCGCTCGGGTCGCCAGCGAGGACATTCTAGAACGGCCCGTCTCTGGCCACGGCCTCTGATCACTCCCCGGCCCAGGCCCGGTGGGGCTAACGGTGCCACCCTCCCCGGGCTGCGAGGGCCTGTTCCCAACGGACCGGGCCGCTCCGATGCAGTGACGGGCTCTGCAGCACAATTGCTCGGCTGGGGTTTCACACACACTCAGGCTCCTGGCGCAATTAAAAGCAAACCTGAATCAACCGGCAATGTAGACGGAAAAAGGCGGAGTCTCTCCACGCTCACCCGGCAAAACTCACCCCGGGGGACGGAACAGAGCCCCCTGCAGCAGCTTTACCTGAGCCAGGCCACCCAGGGAGTCCCAGGCCCCCATCTGCCCTGGGCGGGGTGCCCGGGAGGAGCCCTGACCATCCCCCCACCCTCCGAGTGCTGCCCTGGGCCGGTGGAGAGTCTGGGCTCCCCAAAGTGCAGCTCTGGCTCCTGGGCTGGCTGGGGGCACGTGGCCCACCTGGGGAGGCGGAGGGCTTTGGGCTTGTTTAGCCAGGTGGGGAGGGAAGAGTGGAACTGGAGAAAGCAAGTCAGGTTTGAAGAGGGACCTACACCTGGCTGTGCTGTGGGGTGTGATTCCCACTGACTCACCCCACACGTGGCTTGGCCCAGACCCCTAAGTACCAGCCTGAGCAGAGAACAAGGCTCGTCCCAGAGGCAGAGACAAAGGGAGGGAGGCAGGGCCTGGGAGCTGGGCAGACTGGGCGGAGGGAAGCATGAAGGGAGCAGACTAAGTCCAGGACAGGGGGGCTCAGGGGCCTGTGAACCCCTCCCCCCAGAGGACTACGGCTCTGCCGTGGAGCCTGCACCGTGCTGTGTCCCTGCGCAGCGATAACCCTTCTGTTCTACGGCCCGGCGGAGAGTCCTCTCTGGCTGCGGGTGAGGGTGCAGGGCCGGGGGCTCCCCACCGCGCCGTCAGTCCCAGGCAGGCACGGCCCTCTCCCAGTCCCCACGCTTCCCTCCAGCCAGCACGAGTGTCCGCAAGGCCCCGCGGGCCCGGCTGCTGCTCGAATGCAGCGCAGAGCCAGGCTGCTGCTCAGTCACCCGCTGCTCGGGCTCTGGCCTCTCCTCGCTGCACACCCGGAGCATGACGCGGTCAGGTTGTTTTTCACAGGCGCTCAGCTCCTAAAGCACCGGCAGCAACGATTGACCAGCCCCCGCACGCCTCTCGCTGCCGCCGCTGCTGCACAGTCGCAGGTTCCAAGGCCGGGCGGGGCCGGCTGATAACACTGAGCATCTCCCCCGGGAACACAGCCCATCTGGATCACAGAGCGGCTAGGGAGGGGGGCCCCCCCCCCCGGAAGTTGTTCCAACAGTTAATTAACTCACCGTTAAAAATTGTTCCCCATTTCCAGGCTGCCCTGGTCTCAGGTCAGCGGCCAGACTCTGCACCGTGTTGGACTTTTCTGGCGAGGCCGAAGGGCCCGGAGCGGGTCATGTCCCCCTCCCCTCTCTCTTGAGCAGCAAAGGGAGCGGAGCTCTTTGATCTGTCACTGCCAGGCAGGCGCGGGCTCTTCTCTGGAGCGATGCCGCTGGAACCAGAGCCAGCTCGCTGGCAGCGGCCGCCACAGGGCAAAATCCACAAGGGTAAAATCGGCTCCGCTCCTGGTCCCGATTCTCCTGCCAATGCTCCCAGGGCCACGTCCTTCCCTTTGGCCACAGTGTGGTACTGGGCGCTTCGCGGGAGCCTGCCTCTCCCACTCCAGGGCCCCAACCGGGGCTCCGGGCTAGTCTAGGGCCAAGGTCGCCTCGTCTCCGTTCATGTCCATGGGCACAAAACCAAATGCCGACATCTCGACCCGTTTGCAGAGCAGAATTCCGATGGCCTTGCCGGTCCTATGGCTGGTCCGGAAGGCAACTTCGCCCGGCTCTGGCTGCAGGAGCGGGCTTCCAGGACTGATAGGAACGTGCCCAATGGCTTCCCCCAGCCCCGAGGCACGGGGGACAGAGAGCTCACTCGCAGCTGGCCTCCGAGCGGGCCCCACGTGTGCAGCACAGCCACCTCCCCCCACCCCGAAACACACTGGGGCCAGCAGGGGTTCTGAGAAGGGACTTTGCTGCCTGATTAAGATCAACAGGAAGGGGGCGGGATTCAAACATTCGTAGGAGGGATGGTCGCGCAGGGATCAGTCACCCTCCTGCCAACACCGGAACACGGAACCAGTCGAGGCAACAGATTGGCAACTGACCGAAGGTAACACTTCGTCGCCAGGGCCAGGGATGCCAGGGCCGGGGAGCTTGTGGATCTCCTGGAACAAGGCTGCCCTGCGGGCCCGGCTCGCAGCTTAGCGATTGGCCTGACGGGATTAGCTGTGCTCCTGGATGACACGAGCCCCCGCGTTAGCTTAGTAACTATGGGTGTGTCTAGACTACACGGCTCCGTCGACAGAGCCACGTAGATGAGTTTACCAAACAGAGCAAAATGAAGTGGCGATTTAAATAATCGCTGCTTCATTTACATCAAAATGGCCGCCGCGCTGTGCCGATCAGCTGATTGTCGGCTCGATTAGCTGTGCTCCTGGATGACACGAGCCCCCGCGTTAGCTTAGTAACTATGGGTGTGTCTAGACTACACGGCTCCGTCGACAGAGCCACGTAGATGAGTTTACCAAACAGAGCAAAATGAAGTGGCGATTTAAATAATCGCTGCTTCATTTACATCAAAATGGCCGCCGCGCTGTGCCGATCAGCTGATTGTCGGCTCAGCGCGGTAGTCTAGATGGGGATCTGCCAACCTCAGAACCCTTCGTCGGCAGATCCTTTATCCCTCGTGGA